AAAGAGGGAGCAAAGGAAGGAGGGAAAGAAAGAAGGAAAAGAGGAAGGTTGGTCACAGCAACACGTGTCGAGTACAGCTAGTTAGCAATAATTTTCTGGCAGTAGGATCAGTCTGAAAGTGCAATACAGGCAGTCCCCGAGCTACAAACATCCGACATACAAATTACTCATAGTTACAAGCAGGAATGAGATAAGAGGAAGTGAGAGGAATCTACCTCTAGGAAAGGAAATTCACTCCTGGAGGAGTTATCAGGGGGGAAAGGTGTCTCCTCTGAAGCTTTTTTGCCAATCTTTGTTTCCACAACAAGCCAAATTTTTCAAAATCCAATCATCACAAGGACAGAAAGGGAGGTGAAACCTTCTGAACAGGGGTACAGCAGCAAAACAAACACCACAAGGGGGTTAACCCTTCCCTATGCTATCCAAAGCTTGCTTTTATATAAAAATATAAATATAAATGAAAATGTAAATAAAAATGTAATATTCGTTTGTGGGATTAACATAACTCAAAAACCACTGGACGAATTGACTCTACATTTGGACACAAGACACCTAACAATGTATGTCCTCCACTAAAATGATCTTGTCATTTGGGAGTTGTAGTTGCTGGGATTTATAGTTCACCTACAATCAATAAACATACTGAACTCCGCCAGTGATGGAATTGAACCAACCTTGGCACACAGTGCTCCCATGACCAACAGAAAATACTGGAAGGGTTGGGTGAGCAGTGTCCTTTGGTTTTGGAGTTGTAGTTCACCTACATCCAGAGATCACTGTGGACTCAAACAATGATGGGTCTGGACCAAACTCTACACAAAGACTCAATATACCCAAATGTGAACACTGGTGGAGTTTGGGGGAAAATAGAATCTTGACATTTGGGAGTTGTAGTTGCTGGGATTTATAGTTCACCTACAATCACAGAGCATTCTGAACCCCACCAACGATAGAATTGGGTCAACCCTCTGACACAGAACCCGCATGTGGGCCACAGCAACACGTGGCAGGGGACGGCTAGTATATAAATAAGAGTTTTGGACATGTGTGTGTATGTGTGTCTGGAGTTAAACTTCAAAAATGTACCTGTTCCAACTTACATACAAATTCAACTTAAGAACAAACCTACAAAACCTATCTTGTTCGTAACTTGGGGACTGCTTGTACTCTGGTGACGGAATCTCCTTCTTTGGAAGTCTTTAAATAGAGATTACATGGAGTGGCTTAGGGTGCATCTATACTGTAGAATAAATGTAGCCTGACATCACTTTAATTAGCATGGATCTATGCTATCGAATCCTAGAGTTGTAGTTTTATAAGGCCTTTAACTTTCTCTGCATCAAAGTGCACATGATAGGATCCCACAGCATTCCGCCATGTCAGTTAAAGTGGTGTCAAACTACATTCATTCTGTGGTGTAGATGCACCTTTAGTTATACATTCCTGCATGGCAGGGGTGGACTAGATGTGGTCCCTTCCAATTCCATGATTCTATTACACAGTCATCAATTTACTTCACTCGAAAAGGGTACATACTTGAAAGAAAGGCATGGAAGCCTGGCATCTATCAGCCACTACATTTTAGTTTTTAGGTTTGGAAGCTGAACCCAGGTTTTGAGGTCTAATCTATGCAAGCAAAGCTAGCTTCATATCAAGTTTCGTCTCTTTTCAGTCCCTGTTCCTTGGTATCTTACTTACAGCATCCATTAGAGTTAGCTGCTCAGCCGCTTCATCCACGGAAAAGGACAGCAAGGTTGGCATGCCTTCACATCCCGCTGCCCCAACTGCTTCGCCAGTCACCTGCGGGAGTCTCATTTCTGGAGGTTCTCCTGTGGTGCCGTAAAACAAGAGTATGGGCAATTGGGGACAAATGACACCTTAAGAGAAATGCCTGCAAGGCCTCCCCGCTGCCACTTTGTGCTTTTCCTGCAAGGCAGAAGGAAGTTGGACTGGATGATCCCAATGGGTTGCTCCTTTTATTTTTATTGCACATGCAACTCCTAGAACGATTCCATCAGCGCTGCCTCCGGAAAATCCTGCAAATCACTTGGGAAGACAGGCGGACAAACGACCACCAGCATTGAAGCAATGGTCCTCCGCCATCAACTCCGCTTGACCGGCCATGTTGTCTGGATGCCTGACCACCGCCTCCCAAAGCAGTTGCTCTACTTCGAACTCAAGAACGGAAAACAGAATGTTGGGGATCAGGAAAAGAGATTTAAAGATAGGCTCAAAGCCAACCTCAAAAACTCTGGCATAGACACTGAGAACTGGGAAGCCCAGGCCCTTGAGCGCTCCATCTGGAGTTCAGCTGTAACCAGCAGTGCTGCAGAATTTGAAGAGGCACGAATGGAGGGCGAAAGGAAGAAGCGTGCCAAGAGGAAGGCGCGTCAAGCCAACCCCGACCGAGACCGCTTTCCACCTGGAAACCAATGCCCTCACTGCGGAAGAAGATGCAGAGCAAGAATAGGGCTCCACAGCCACATACGGACCCACAAGAACACTGGAAGACAATCCTCCTCGGAAAACGAGGGATCGCCGAAGTAAGTAAGTATTATTATTATTATTATTATTATTATTATTTCAAAGGCTGGGTGGTCATCTGTTGCTGGTGCTTTGAGTGTGTTTTTCCTGCAAGGCAGAAGGAGGTTGGACTGGATAGCCTCTGGGTTGCTGCTATTATTATTATTATTATTATTATTATTATTATTATTATTCCAAAGGCTGGACAGTCCCTGGGGTCTTCCACTTAAATACTGTTAAGTTTATGTTGGTTAAAATTATTCTTCATTTTAAATATTGCATTGTTCTTTCTTTATTTCTTTTTTTGAACTACAAACAAGATATGTGCATGTGCATAGGAATTTGGTTTTTTCTCCAATTAGTTCACACGAACATTCTCCATCCATCTGCCATTGGCCTGGCCCATCTGTCAAATTTTAAAATGCAAGGCAGCCCCTGTGTCCAAACATTTCTTGAGACTCTAGGACAGTGGTCCTCAACCGTGCTAATGCCGTGACCCCTTAATACCGTTCCTTATGTTGTGGTGACCCCCAATCATAACATTTTTGTTGCAACTTCATAACTGTAATTTCACTACTGTTACAAGTCGTAATGTAGATATCTGATATGCAGGATGTATTTTCATCCACTGGACCAAATCTGGCATTTGGGAGTTGTAGTTGATTTTTGTCATTTGGGAGTTGTAGTTGCAGGATTTATAGTCCACCTATAATCAAAGAGCATTCTGAACTCCACCAATGACGTAATTGAAACAATTTTAGCACACAGAACTCCCATGACCAACAGAAAATACTAGAAGAATTTGGTGGGCACTGACCTTGAGTTTTAGAGTTCTAGTTCACCTACACCCAGAGAGCACTGTAGACTCAAACAATGATTGTTCTGGACCAAATACTCAACATGCCCAAATGTAAACACTGGTGGAGTTTGGGAGAAATAGACCTTGACATTTGGGAGTTGTAATTACTGGGATTTATAGTTCACATACAATCAAAGAGTATTCTGAACCTCACCAATGATAAAATTGGGCCAAACTTCCCACACTGAACCCCCATGACCAACAGAAAACAATAGAAGGGTTTGGTGGGCAATGACCTTGAGTTTTGGAATTGTAGTTCACCTACATCCAGAGATCACTGTGGACTCAAACAATGATGGGTCTGGACCAAACTCTACATGAAGACTCAATATGTCCCAATGTAAACACTGGTGGAGTTTGGGGAAAATAGACCTTGACATTTGGCTGTTGTAGTTGCTGGGATTTATAGTTCACCTACAATCAAAGAGCATTCTGAACCCCACCAAGGATAGAATCGGGCCAAACTTTCCACACAGAACCCCCATGACCAACAGAATACACTGTGTTTTCTGATGGTCTTTGGCGAACCCTCTGACACCCCCTGGCGACCCCTCCAGGGGTCCCGACTCCCAGGTTGAGAAATGCTGCTCTAGGAGAAACTTTTCCTTTAAAAAGGGCTCTGCAGCTTTAAAAGTCTGAGAACCCCTGCCTTAGAGAATACAGCTCCAATCAACAGCTATTGCCCACGGTTTTCTTAAGGGAGCACAGCTTCTAATGATATACTAATTTACATCATCTAATTTGGGAAATAAAATATGATAATTCAAGAGCTCTTTCACATTACACACAGTAGGGTTCCACATTAACCTGGCTGATCCTGTGAAATCCTAGGATTTATATTTTGGGGAGGCAGTAGAGGAGTTCTCTGGCTTGGAGTGCTAAGTGATCCTCCCTAAATTACAAGTCCCAGGATTACCTAGCATGCAGCCACAGCAGTTACAGGAGAGCCATAGTGCTATAATTATACAGTGTACAAGAACGTGTAAGCCTAATCTTTATCATGGTGTTTGTACTGAATCAGGATATTTTGTTGGTTTATCTGAGACATATTGCACATTTTTGGTAGTTATACGGGCCAACATTATCTCTCTCTCTCTTCTCTCTCTCTCTCATTCTATCTGTCTGTCTATCTATCTATCTATCTATCTATCTATCTATCTATCTATCTATCTATCTATCTATAAATGCTCTGTGCATAATGAGTACCTTAAAAACAAAAGAACCAATGAACGAAATCACACCAAATTTGGCAACAAAATGTCACAACACAAGGAGTGACCATCACTCAAAAATTATGATTTTTTTCATTTGGGAGTTGTAGTTGCTGGGATTTATAGTTCACCTACAATCAAAGAGCATTCTGAACTCCACCAAGGATGACAGAATTGGGCCAAACGTCCCACACAGAACCCCCATGGCCAACAGAAAACACTTTAGGCCATCCAGTCCAACTCCCTTCTCCAGGGCAAGAAAATGTAATCAAAGCCCTCCTGACAAAGAGCCATCCAGCCATAGAGATAGATAGATAGATTGTTAGATAGATATGATTTACACATATATATCATAGATTTAAAAGGGATACCCAAAAAAGGATAATTATACGTTGCATGTTTCAGAGTAGGCAAACCAGACAATCCCCACATCAACACTGACAAAGACACAGCAAGAAATACTGTTTACCCACAAGCAGAAAGACATTACACTAAAAAAAAAAGGAGTTTGTAATTTGAGAGTTGTAGTTGCTGGGATTTATCGTTCACCTACAATCAAAGAGCATTTTTAACTCCACTAACGATGGAATTGAACCAAACGTGGCACACAGGACTCCCATGACCAACAGAAAATACTGGAAGGATTTGGTGGGCATTGATGTTGAGTTTGGGAGATGTAGTACACCGACATCCAGAGAGCACTGTAGACTCAAACAATGATGGATCTGGACCAAACTTGGCACAAATATTCCATATGCCCAACTAGGAACACAGATGGAGTTTGGGGGAAATAGACCTTGACATTTGGGAGTTGTAGTTACTGGGATTTATAGTTCACCTACAATCAAAGAGCATTCTGAATCCCACAAACGATAGAATTGGGGCAAACTTCCCACACAGAACCTCCATGACCAACAGAAAATACTGAAGGCCACCCAGTCCAACTTTCTTCACCAGGGCAAGAAAATGTAATCAAATACTGTTTACCCACAAGCATAAAGAAATTACATATATTAGAAACCAACACTTTCTCATTACTTTATTTCCCAGATCACCAGACTGGGCCACAGCAACACGTGGCAGGGGACAGCTAGTCTATATAAATAAAAATGTAATGTTTGTTTGTGGGATTAACATAACTCAAAAACCACTGGATGAATTGACACTAAATTTGCACACAATACACCTATCAGACTAACACGTGACCATCACTCATAAAAACACTGAAAGCTACAGCAGAAGAGACTTAAAAAGGCAAAAATAAAAAATACAATACAATGCATGCTCAAAACCACACACACACACATATATACGCAAACACACATATATACACATGTACACAAATATATACACACACATATACACATATATACACAAACAAAACACAGACTGGGCCACAGCAACACGTGGCAGGGGGTGGCTAGTGTTATAGAAAATCTTGAATCAAACCAAGATGTGTATATACTTCCTCCTACCTAAGAATCAAGCAACAGGCAACATTGCAAGGATTCTAAGGCATGGTTTTCCTTATGGGTATTTCTTTAGTACCTATGAAACATTAGTCCCAGAGCAATTGCTTGGCATATATCTACATGTCCACAAAGCCAGGCAGTGCATCTCCTCCTCACTAGGCAGGTAAACATCCAACGTAACCATGATTCTAGATCCCTACCGTCAGTCTCCGTTCCTGTTGTTGGTCTTCTCACGTCTTCCTCCTTCCTCTGTTCCTGTTGGGTTTGCAGCAGTTCTTCGGCCAGAGCACATGCGGCAGAGGCTGGCGCAGAGTGGTGCAGAAAATGCAATATTTGTTTCAAGTTGAAGTGTTCGGGGGGATCCCAGAAATCCTCAGGGTAATCCTGTAGCCAGAGCTCCAAGATCTGTATCACTCCCCTATGGCCAGAAGAGAAATGCAATCACTTCTTACTCTCTCCATCACCTTTCCTGTCTCAGTTCTGTATTGAATCGAGTATAAGCCGAGGGTGGGAAATGCAGCAGCTACTAGTAAATTTCAAAATAAAAATAGATACCAATAAAATTATATTAACTTAGGCATCAGTAGGTTAAATGTTTTTGAATATTTACATAAAGCCGTAATTCAAGAGGATTTCTTCAATGTAAATATGCCTACGTGTCCTCCAATAATAATAATAAATAGAGTAAAATAATAATAATAGAGTAAAATAATGGAATGCAATAATAACAGTAACAATAGAGTAAAATAATAAATGTAATAATAACAATAGAGTAAAATAATGAAATACTTTGGCCACATTATGAGGAGACAGCAAAGCTTAGAGAAGAGAATTATGCTGAGGAAAGTGGAAGGTAAAAGGAAGAGGGGCCGACCAAGGGCAAGATGGATGGATGGCATCCTTGAAGTGACTGGACTGACCTTGAAGGAGCTGGGGGTGGTGACGGCCAACAGGGAGCTCTGGCGCAGGCTGGTCCATGAGGTCACGAAGAGTCGGAGACGACTGAACGAATTAACAACAACAAAATAATAAATGTAACAGTAACAATAATAGAGTAAAATAATAAATGTAATAATAACAACAATAATAATAAAATAATAAATGTAATAATAATAATAACAACAACAAAGTAAAATAATAAATAACATTGACTCGAGTATAAGCTGGGGGAGACTAAAGAAGCCTTTAAAAAGGACTGAAAAACTAGGCTTATACTCGAGTATATACAGTATCTCTGAATCCTTACTTATCCCACATAACAGCATTAGTCTTCTTGCTTCAAACTTCACTGCTATCTGAGATCTGATATTTTCTGAATTTATTTACAACATTTGTATCCCACCCATATCAGCCTGAAGGCGACTCAGGGCGGCATACAAGTCGGCAACCATTAGATGCCATATATAAAAATACATACATCAATAAAAAGCAAAAACACCACAATACAATTAAAAACCATATCATATTCGCCCTTATCATCCCGAAGGTGACTCAGGGCGGCGTACAGAGTTGGCACAATTCGATGCCATATATAAAATACATACATTGATAAAAAGCAAAAAAATAAATAAATTACAGTACATTTAAAAACATAAAAACAATGAACAATAAAAAAAGTTCTTCCAAGCTGTTTGGCCATGGGTAACACTGGCTGTATCCACACTATCTGACAATGCAATTTGAAACTACGTACTGCATGTGTCTTTGAGTGAAATTTGCAAATGCTAAGCAAAGGGCTTTGAATGAAATTAACAGCAAAAGACAAATATACCCTTTCTCTGTAGAAAAGGAGCAACACGGAAGAAAATGTTTTTAAGAAACAAGATGTGACATGTAGAGGTCGGAAGTTGTGTTGTGGTTAAGTTCAAAGGTTGTGGTTAAGTGCAGAGTCTGCAGGTACAAGAAGGTACTTTCCATCAAAAGGTCAAGGGAGAGGGGCTGGAAAGAGAGTACTTTCCATGATCTATTACTTGAGTATAAAAGTCAGCAGAAAAAGAGGAGGGGCGTGGCAGTCACTTGAAGGGTAGCATCTGCGTATGCTGCCAGGCTGTCCGTCCTCTTCATGAAGAAACTAAAATAAACCTTGTTTTTTTATATTTTTTGGGACTGTTTCCTTCTTTACGTGTTCCCGTGATGTGGACCTAAGAAGACCCAATTTAGGGTCTCTAACAAGTGGAGACTCATATGTCACAGGTTGGTGGGGACGAGAGACAGGGCCTTCTCGGTGATTGCTCCTCAGCTATGGAACTCCCTTCCTGATGAGATCAGGTCGGCCCCCTCTTTCCTGTCCTTTAGAAGGATGATAAAAACTTGGCTGTGGGACCAAACTTTCAGGACAGGGCAATAAAGCATTACCAGGCCAATTAGATTTGACGTGGATGACTAGAATGGTTTTAAATGGTGTATTTTAATATTTTGATAAATGTTTTTCATGTTTATTTATGTATATAAGAATTTGTGTCCCAGCATTGAATGTTTGCCGTATACTGTGCTCCGCCATAAATAAATAAATATGATGCAGTTCAATGCAATCAATATGAATCTTCACTGACCATATAATGCCATTTCAGACCGCATTATATGGCAATGTAGATAAGACCTGACTACTACAAGCAGGTGACTGTGTGGTTAGGAACATGAGCATTTGCTTTTGATTGTCATAATTGTGCCTAAAATGACACTATTATCATAATTTAAGGGCCCTTCCACACCGTCCTATATCCCAGAATATCAAGGCAGAATATCAAGGCAGAAAATCCCACTATATTTGCTTTGAACCGCGTAATCTGAGTCCACACTCAGATAATGTGGGATTTTCTGCCTTTATATTCGGGGATATAGGGCTGTGTGGAAGGACCCTTAGAGCAATTATACATCCTAGCCATGGAAAGACAAAGGAACTCCAGTACAGTCAGACAGAATTAGAAAAAAAAATCACAGAACCTCACAAAATCCAGGTAGGACTGAGCCTACTTTTAGGATGCTACCTCAAGCAGCAGAGTTTGATTATTGTAAATGTGTGTCCGGTGTTTTATGCATTAAAATAGCTTCCAATACTAGAGATGGGGAAAGTATTTGAGGGATTTTCTGCCTTGGAAGGTGCCAAAAATCCATATCTGTCCTCGGGCTCTGTGGATCTTAATGTGGATGTGTGGGTGGATGCCATTTCCTGCTCCATTTCAAGCAGTAAAATGCTTTGAGCTGTCAAGAGGGAAAATCAACCAGCCATGACAGTTAAACCTTTACAAACATTACGCCTGTATGCCTTCCAGTCATTTTTGATTTTGAGATTTTTTGAAGGCTTATTGCTCTGTCGTGGGTTTTTCTTGGCAGGATTTCCTCCAAGGGGTTGCCATTGCCACCTTCTGAGGGTGATTGAGTGCTACCTGCCCAAGGCCACACAATAACTGAGGAGGGATTCAAACTCCAGTCTTCTGGAGTCCTACTCTATCATTCAACCCACTATATCAGGGGTCCTCAAACTAAGGCCCAAGGGGCAGATATGGCCCTCCAAGGTCATTTACCCGGCCCTCACTCAGGGTCAACCTATGTATTTGTTTGCAATACAAGTAAGATATGTGCAACATGTATAGTGATTTGTTCATTTTTTTCCAAACTATAGTCCTGCCCCCAACAGTCTGAGGGACAGTGAACTGGCCCTCTGTTTAAAAAGCTTGAGGACCTCTGATGGACATTGTAGAATTAATGTAATTTGAGAGTGTTTAACTGTCATATCTCAGTGCTATGGAATTATAGTATTAGTAAGGCACCAGTACTCTTTGGCAGCCAAGGCTAAATGCTTTGTAAAACTACATCTAGATAGACTACTGCAATGCCTGTCATGTAGAAGGGCCCTAGGACTCTGGACTTTCCAGGCATGTAGCCGAGGGGGGGGGGGGCTTGAGGCTTCAGCCCCCCCTGAAATTCTCATGGTGGTCGCGAGAAGGCCTTACTGGTACATTATTTAAACTGTTATGTTTATTCATATCATGATCTCATCACCATGCTCAATATATCCCATATGCATGGGGGTATTGGGGTAACGGATACAAAAGATTTCCTAGGGTAGACCCTCTTTCACTCAGACTCAGGCCCCCCTAATCAAACTCAGCTCCCCTCGAATCAAAATCCTGGCTACGGGCCTGTCGGAAGCTTCAAATAGTCCAATGAGAGGCAGCCAGGTTAATAACTGGGGCGGCATACAGGGAGCATACAATTCCCATGTTACGACAACACTGGCTGCCAGTTTGCTACCAGGCACCATTCAAAGTGCTTGTTTTTAGCCTATAAATCCCTAAACGGCCCGGCCCAAATTATCAAAGTGTTCAACCTTCTGACTTCTTTCCACTGTGTGTGATATCTCATCCAGCCTCCCATACCCATTGCCTTACTTGTCTGGTCCCAGGGGCAGCAGCAGCTCCAGCACTTGGGCGGGGGTGGCAAAGGCCTTGTAAGTGGCCAGGAAGCTGGCTACGCAGTCACCGTCGCCCTCCACATTGGCAGACACCAGCCACTTCAGTAGCCTCGGGAGCGTGGCAGCCCTCAACACGCGTCTCTTGCAAGTGCGGTACTGTACAAAGGGACACTCTGGGGGACTGTGGTCATCCTGTAGGGAAAGCACAGTGGTGATGGAGGCGCAGCTACACAGTGACCACATGAGATCAATCCTCTGTTTACTTTCTATGGAGATATCCCAATGGCATAGAAGTAAGTTGCTTATATTCAGCATAGCCACTGCCTGTTTTCATGTGTGGGAGATTCATTCTGGGCTATTAAAAATCTAATCTTTGAAATCAGATTAATTGGCTGAAAAAATGCATATGATATTCATGGCATCCGTTGATATTTATGGGAATCTCCAGTCCATTTGAGGGAACCTGCGATTGTGAAATTTTGGTGCCCAAATGACCATGTTGCTTGATACTCATAGGAAGTTGGGTCCAACACTAGGGGTGTTCCTCAAATAACACTATGTAGCACAATTTCTGTTCCTGGATTATAAATGTCATTTCCTAATTGGTTTTATCATTAAAACATGAGAAACATTTCTTAAACTGCAAATACTTTGTTTTTGTGGGACATCCTTCATCACATTTTGCTATAGTTTTTCAGTGAATATCTCACTGAGTCTCAACCACTTCAACATAGTTTCTGGCAGCCACAAAAACTAAGTTTAGGAAGTAAAGCAACTACTTTCAAAGTAAGTACCACACAGCCCAATATCCCAGAATATCAAGGTAGAAAATCCCACAATAGCTGCTTTGAGCTGCGTTATCTGAGTCCACACTCAGATAATGTGGGATTTTCTGCCTTGATATTCTGGGATATTGGGCTGTGTGGAAGGGCCCTGAGTCTAAACTGCCATATAATCCAGTTCAAAGCAGTTAATCTGGATTTTATACATCTGTGTAGAAGGGGCCTCAAATAAGAGCATTCTCCACTCCATCCCACTGCTGGTCAGTTTCAGAGCTTGGAAAATGTTACATTTTTGACAACTACTCCCAGAATCCCCCAGTTGAGCAGGTGGGGAGTACCACTGTGCAAGTTCAAACCCTATCTGGTACTGGAGGAAGGGGCTCACAATTTGTTCTCTGGAGGAAGGTGGCACATACCAGCTGATGAGGTCTGTTGGTTGCAGGTTCTGCTTTCACTCGCTGAAGGATGATGCTGTATATAGCCCCATCTTCCACCTCATCACCCCACTGTTGTAGTGGTGTCTGGAAAAGTCAGAGAATTGAACAGAGCAAAGAGACCTGGGCTTGGGTCTTGCAATGAAGAAACAAACATGGCAGAGCAGGACAATGCCTAAATCAGTTGAGTTGGAAGCACACCTTGTAACCACCCAAAACATATTTTTAATGTGTATTGTCACAATTACTCAAATTTATAGCTTTAGCTATCTTGGGCATCTAGTATAGACAGGAAGGATATATCAACAAGAGAAGAGACCACATGGGCCATCCAGTCCAATCCCTATTGCTATCTGCATTCTGCACCACAAGCTATCATTTTGTGCCTGGTCTGATTAGTACAACTCTGGAGCCCCCGGTGGCGCAGTGGGTTAAACTCCTGTGCCGGCAGGACTGAAGACCAACAGGTCGCAGGTTCGAATCCAGGGAGCGACTGATGAGCTCCCTCTATCAGCTCCAGTTCCTCATGCGGGGACATGAGAGAAGCCTCCCACAAGGATGATAAAAACATCAATACATTCAGGCATCCCCTGGGCAACATCCTAGCAGATGGCCAATTCTCTCACACCAGAACCGACTTGCAGTTTCTCAAGTCGTTCCTGACACCCAAAAAAAAAAAAAGTACAACTCTGATGTAATTGGGGGGGAAAACCAAAACAGCTGCTCTGGAAAGACCAAGAAACAAATATCAGTCTAATTTTTTTAAAAAAAATCATGTAATATAAAAAGTATTTAAAATATAAGCCAGCAGGGAGGGGGAAAGAAAGTTAAAGATAGGGAAATTCTTAAGATTAAAATCCACTCTTTTAAAAAAAAACAAACAAGGTGAATACTACAATGTGCTTGCATCCCTTTTCAGTGGGAGATGTACACAAAACTTTTCCGGTGTATTCACTTTAGTGAATGGACATCATGCTGGGAAGGTGGCCTGAATGGACAAGATTGCCATCAGTCTCAACTGTCCTGAGCTTAGAAAACAAAACAAGAAAAACTTGGGGACAGGACATAGAATCATAGCGTTGGAAGGGACCTTGTGGGCCATCCAGTCCAACTCCCTAACTAGAAGCAGGAAAATCGCATTCAAAGCACCCCTGACATGACAATCGCAGAGTTTAGGCGGTGTTGTATTTTGGTATCAATGTTGACTTTTGTGGAGAGGTGGCTGCCAAAATAGCGGAAATGGTCAACATTTTCTAATGTTACACCATTAAGCTGTATCTCTGGCATTGGAGAGGGATTGGCTGGTGACTGCTGGAAGAGCGAGCACTTTGGTTTTCTCAATGTTCAATGACAGGCCGAGCTTCTCATATGCTTCTTTGAAGGTGTTTAGAGTCATCAGCATACTGGAGTTCTATAACAGATGTTGTAACCTTGGTTTTGGCTTTCAGTCTGCTGAGGTTAAATAGCTTGCCATCTGTCCGATAGATGATTTCCACTCCAGTGGGAAGCTTCCCATCAACAAGATGAAGTATCATAGTAACTTTCATAGTAAGTATCACATAATTCCCATATCCCCATACCAAAAAAGGGAAATGCGAAAGACTGCTCCAACTTCCATACAGTGGCCCTTATTTCTCATGCCAGTAAGGTAATGCTCAAGATCCTGCAAGGAAGACTCCAGCAATACATGGAGCGAGAGTTGCCAGATGTTCAAGCTGGGTTTAGAAAAGGCAGAGGAACGAGAGACCAGATTGCCAATATCCGCTGGATAATGGAGAAAGGCAGGGAGTTTCAGAAAAACATCTACTTCTGCTTCATTGACTATTCTAAAGCCTTTGACTGTGTGGATCATAATAAATTGTGGCAAGTTCTTAGTGGGATGGGCATCCCAAGCCACCTTGTCTCTCTCCTGAGGAATCTGTACAAGGACCAAGTAGCAACAGTCAGAACTGACTACGGAACAACAGACTGGTTCAAGATTGGGAAAGGCGTACGGCAAGGCTGCATCCTCTCACCCAACCTTTTTAACTTGTATGCAGAACACATCATGCGATGTGCGGGGCTTGAGGAATGCAAAGCTGGGGTGAAAATTGCTGGAAGAAACATTAACAACCTTAGATATGCAGATGACACCACTTTGATGGCTGAAAGCAAGGAGGAGCTGAGGAGCCTTCTAACCAAGGTGAAAGAAGAAAGTGCAAAAGCTGGGTTGCAGTTAAACATCAAAAAAAACCAAGATTATGGCAAACAAGAATGATTGACAACTAGAAAATAGAGGGAGAAAATGTGGAGGCCGTGACAGACTTTGTATTTCTAGAGGTGCAAAGATTACTGCAGATGCAGACTGCAGCCAGGAAATCAGAAGACGTTTACTTCTTTGAGGAGAGCAATGTCCAATCTCGACAAAATAGTAAGAGTAGAGACATCACACTGGCAACAAAGATCCGCCTAGTCAAAGCCATGGTATTCCCTGTAGTCACCTACGGATGTGAGAGCTGGACCTTAGGGAAGTCTGAGCGAAGGAAGATCGATGCTTTTGAACTGTGGTGTTGGAGGAAAGTGCTGAGAGTGCCTTGGACTGCGAGAAGATCCAACCAGTCCATCCTCCAGGAAATAAAGCCCGACTGCTCACTGGAGGGCAAGATACTAGAGACAAAGTTGAAGTACTTTGGCCACATCATGAGGAGACAGGAAAGCCTAGAGAAGACAATTATGCTGGGGAAAATGGAAGGAAAAAGGAAGAGGGGCCGACCAATGGCAAGATGGATGGATGGCATCCTTGAAGTGACTGGACTGACCTTGAAGGAGCTGGGGGTGGTGACGGCCGACAGGGAGCTCTGGCATGGGCTGGTCCTTAAGGTCACAAAGAGTCGGAGACGACTGAACGAATGAACAACAACAACAACATCACATAATTAAACAGGAAATAGCACTTTCAAACCAGGAACAGAACATTTTGCAAATTTTGTTACGTAATGTAAATTTTGCCATCTTGATCACATAGGGGCATTTTAAAATCAGGTAAAAATGTGGAATGACTGAGGAGTCATTGGAGCATGACCTATAGGGACTTCCCTGTACTTCATATTTTGCCACTGTAGCATTTATGGAGCTCCCCCTCCCACCTGTCTAGCAAAACCATCAACCTGTTTAAATTTCACATGGACTACTGTTTACAGGCACACAAGAGAGGAGGCAAGTGGTGTCCTGTTACTAATGTTATCAATACACAAGGCAGCAGCTTGGATTTGAGTAAAGGAAGCACCTTGCAGGTGATTGCTTCCTTATTCCCTGACAATAACATTGGGACACCAATCCAGGATCCAAGTCAAATCTCCTTCCAATTCTGGAAAAAGTCGGACCTAAGGACACGGGGGGGAAAAGTGGGAAAGTAATCCCAAATGAGCCCCAGGAACAGGATCTCTGCACACTTGGTCTCCTTACCCCTATCCAGTCATTTCTACTTCTCTCCTGTGACCTTCCCTGACATTTCCTACTGGGCTGAGTGGCCTGACCGGTCTAACAAGAGATGGAAATCTACCACCACCACCACCCACATCCTGCCTGATCTGTGCCAGGCAAAGCCAACCCCTACATCTCCATTAGCTGTCATTAGACAGTGTGTGTATATTTACATACATATCAAAACCACCACAGCACAATAGTTCTGAAGAATGTCTTTCTTCGTTTATGTTTTGTTAAACGCTATGGCTCTGTATCAATTGGAAACACACTCTTGCAGTGTTATTCTTGTAACAGAAAAATAAATACCTTAGGATCAATGACTGTGCCACCTCTGAATTATTGGTACATGAAACAGAGTGGCTGCAAAGTAATTTTAATCAAGGTGAAAGAAGAAAGCGCAAAAGCTGGGTTGCAGTTAAACATATAAAAACCAAGATTATGGCAAGAAGAATGATTGACAACTGGGAGATAGAGGGAGAAAACGTGGAGGCCGTGGCAGACTTTGTATTTCTAGGTGCAAAGATTACTGCAGATGCAGACTGCAGCTAGGAAATCAGGAGACGCTTACTTCTTGGGAGGAGAGCAATGACCAATCTCGATAAAATAGTGAAGAGTAGAGACATCACACTGGCAACAAGATCCGCATAGTTAAAGCAATGGTATTCCCCATAGTCACCTACGGATGTGAGAGCTGGACCATGGGGAAGGCTGAGCGAAGGAAGATAGATGCTTTTGAACTGTGGTGCTGGAGGAAAGTTCTGAGAGTGCCTTGGACAGCGAGAAGATCCAACCAGTCCATCCTCCAGGAAATAAAGCCCGACTGCTCATTGGAAGGAAGGATATTAAAGGCAAAGATGAAGCAGTTTGGCACATCATGAGAAGAAAGGAAAGCTTAGAGAAGACAATTATGCTGGGGAAAATGGAAGGAAAAAGGAAGAGGGGCCCATAGTCAAATTATTTATTATTTATTTATTTATTTGCTATACTTGTATACCGCCGTTTCTCAGCCTAGCCGGCGACTCAACGCGGTTTACAACAACTTATAACAAACAACAGTATACAGTTTAAAAACATAAAAACACAATCCACAATACATATATCAATAAACAATCCAATTCATCTCTTGACTAAAATCGCGATCCAGTTTCGTCGTCCAAATTGCCAGTCCTTCAATCATTACACTTATTGCACTGAGTTAACCAAACGCCTGCTTGAACATCCAGGTTTTTAGTCTTTTCCGGATTATTATTATTAATTATTTATTAACTTTATTTGTACCCCGCTACCATCTCCCCAAGGGACTCGGTGCGGTTTACATGAGGCCGAGCCCAAACACAACAATACAAGCAATAAAACAACAATAAAGCAATTAAAAAACATAGACAATAAGATAAACAACATTATCGATAAAACAACACACAATTAAAAACAGAGGGGAGGCCAAATGTAAAGTTAAAATTGGAAATATGCTGGGACATGAACGGAAGGTGATACTGGTGTTTGTGAAAGGGCATACGAGCAGACTTAGAAAATGTAAAGTGCTTTGGAGGACAAAAGTGCTATGGGATCATTATTCCGGGAAGGCACACTGGAACAGCCACGTCTTCAAGCTCCTCCTGAAG